AAAAATCTGGTTTTAGATAAACTTTCCAGGTTTCATGTACAGCCTGCCACTTGTTTGGAAGCACTTTAAAAGAGGATGTTGAGAGGCAGAGGGGGCAGCTGTAGGTACTGGGGGTACTGGGGAACCTGGGGGTACCGAGCCCAGGTGCTCAGAGCAGGACCCCAAAGCCAGGGCTGGGTTGGAGCCCTCCCTGTTGAAATAGCAGTGCACAGAAGTGCACTCCTGGGGTTTCATTCTCAGGAGCAGCCATAGGTTTTTGGCTCACCCTTCTCTTGGTTTCTGTGCCGGTGCTTTGGGATGCTCACATGTACAGTCTGCCTGTGGAGGTGTGGCAGGCAGGAGAGTCCAGGGCCCTGTTCCCCAAACCCTGTGGGAACAGCTGAACCTGACAGTAAAGCTGATGGGAACAGCCAGCAGGAAACACTGCCACTGTAAGCAGGAGAGGTGCTCAATGGGTGCAGAAGACTCTGTTTGAATTCATTTCCCCTTTTTACTGTTTTGATTGCTACAGAAACAAATATGATCTTTAGATGAAGTTAGCACCTGTGTCAAAGAAAGAGATCCCAGGAATGAGCAGGAGAGGGCAGGGGACCAGTCAAGGCTCTCAGCATGGGAGGATGGGGAAAGGACTAAGAGAGGGAATAAGAGGATGTGAGCTGTGCTCCCAATGAAATCACTGGGAATTCTGCCATAGAAGCAGAACTGCGTTGTTCCTTCAGGTATGAAAAGTCCTGTGAATGACAAACTGAACTCCCATTAAGAGGTTAGGACAGGAAGCTGCTTTCTTCCAGGGATGAGCCAAGGATCTGCAAAAGCTGAGTCTCTAAATTTGTGTGTTCAAGCCAAGCCTTGACAGAAGCTTTGCTTCCAGCATCCCCTGGGGGGGTCTTTTAATTCCCATTAGTATCTCCTGCAGTCCTTCCACCTCTGCCTTGATTTCTGCTGGCCTTCCTTCTCTTTTCCATCTGATCAAGGACTGCACTGCAATCTGAAGCATACAGGAGTCAAGGATGTCTTTGCATTGTCTTCATTAGCCTTTGAATCAGAGCAGGGAGGTCACAGTTCTTGGGTTTATAATCTGTTTTGCAGATGAATCAGGATATTTTGCTATTGTTTTGATTTGAGCCTCAGAAAGCCCTGGAAATAACACAAGCAGCAAATAGATAAAACAAGATTCGTGCCAATGGAACAAGCAAAATATGTCATCCCAATTCAGACGGGGCTTGGTGCAGAACTAGGACTGAAGGCTAAGTCCTGACTTCCCTCCTTGTGCTTTTACCACTCCATCGTGCAAACTCCCCCAAATTATCATAGAATTGTGCAAAGAGTACCAGCCAGCAGAGACCAGCTCTGCCTGGCTCCTGTGAGCCTGCCAGGGCTGTTGGGATGGCGAGGGAAGGGACACACAATTCATTTTGAGAAGGTTTTTCCCCCTCTTTTTGTCATCTTCTTTGTGGTGGTTTGTGAAATGCTGGGAAGGAGCAGGACAATGAAGGGGAAACGTTCCAAGGAGCCAGGCTGCTCCATGCATTGCCCAAGCAGCACCCAGAGTACGGACAGGCAGTGTGGGACACACATGGGACTGCAGCTCTGGCAGCAGCCTGCCTCCCCTCTGAACACACAGCAGGGACAGGGCACAGACCCAGAGCCTCTCCTGCCTGCCTGGGGCTCTCCCTCACTCCAGCACTAATGCAGGTGCAAAGTTATCGACTCCAGAAAGTTTTTTGCACAATTTAGAGCCATAAAATGGAAGCTGCCTCTGAGCACTTGGCTCTTCCTCTCTTGCAAGTTTGGGCCAGATGCAAAAGAGGACTTAAGCACTTACAATTCCATAGGTTACTCCCTGCTCAGGATAACATTTCTTCCAGCAGCAGCAGCTTTGTGTCTGGACATGCCCAGAGCTGCTGGGATCTGAGCAGCTTAGTGCAGAGTTCCCACCTGGAACCCACTGGGATCCTCGGAGCAGGGAAGGAGCGTTCCTTTTCCCAGGAGAGCCTGAGAAACGTCCTCAGGAGCGTTGCAGAGCTGGGGCACAGCAGCAGGAGCAGCCCCTCACAGGATGCTCCCCTTTGGCACAGGCAGGAGCAGCGTGCTCAGCTCAGGGTTTGGGGTGCACTGGGTCAGTCCTGGGCTGTTTGCTGTCAGCTGGGGCTGCCCAGGAGAACAAGCATTGCCTCCAGGACTGAGACAGGGAATCTGAACCCTTCCAGCTCAAAGAAACAAAAACTCCAGGCCCTTTCAAGGAAAACACAATTGTAGTGAATTAGAGCAAAACCAAAACAAAACCAGAAAAACAACCAACCAGAAAAACACACCGCCAAAAAACTGAATAAACCACAGTTATTCTGCTGGCTAATATCATGAAGACATGATGGTACTTGCAGCTTCCTGCTTGGACCTGGCTTGCTCCAAAGTTATTTTGTGTGTTAATCCTGTGGTTTAGATGATGAAGATTAGGCCTGAGTGTGCTGGTTCAGATAAAAGGGGGAAAGGCAGCAACCAAACCTTCACCCAAACTCCAACCTAAACTTTTCTAAGCTTTAAATAAAATCAAAAATGTATTAACTTTTCTTTCTTATTCCTTTGTTTTGCAATTAAGATTTTATTTGTAGGTACTGTTATTCATCAGCTGCAGTTATTCATTCACAGCTTTGGAAGTCACAGTGCTATGAGGAGGAGAGCTCTTACCCCTGCAAACACAAAAACACACATTCCAGGTTCACAAAAATGTCTTTCTGCTGCCTCTCCTGAACTTGGCTTTTTAGTGGAACTGGGATTTTTAATCCTAGTTACTGCTTCCAGTGTAACTGCCACCATACCATGTAAGCTTCTTCCCAGTTTTGGTTTCTGTGCGTCTTGGCCTGGAATGTTCAGTTGCAGATTTCCTGATAAAGATCCCAGCTGACAGCCAGCAATTTGGCCAATGTTCCTCAAATAAATAGGAATATAAAATCATGTTCCAAAATCTAGGCAGAAATGAGTGATTGATTCTCCAAAAAATCCCCAAACCCAAAACTAAACAAACAAGAGCTGCCTGCTGCTTGGCAATTTTGAAAATTAAATTAATACTCTGTTCTTTTGCTTTACTACGTAATAATTTCAGTACCTATTTTTAAATGGTTGTCTCAGCCAATAGCACACTTTAGTGCTTGATTAGCACATATTTGGCACACAGAGCACCAGGGAAAACACACTCACTGCATTTCTTCTCAAGCTGAAGCACTCTCTGCAGATGTCAAATACACACATAACCAAGGCAGTGCTTGCCCTGTGCAGGGGCACTGGGGGTTCTGGTCAGCTCTTGTAGCTCCTGGTCCCATCCCCGTGCTGCTAGGTCCAGACAGGTCCTGGTAGGTCCAGACAGGTCCTGGAAGCTCTGGGGTGCCTGCTGCCCTTTGCACACACCATGGGTTTGCACAGGCTGCACAGGGACTGGGATGCAGGAGTGCTGTCCATGGACACCTCTGTGCAGAGAATGCACTCTGCCATGGTGCAGTCCATGAAAGCACAGCCAGGGCAGGAAAACCCACGGAGTCTATCCCATGAGGGGCACAAACCCCATGAGGGAGGAGCTGTGGGGCCAGGTCCCCACCTCAGCATCTCACAAGGCAGCAGCACCTTGGCCTTTCCAAGCTGCAGGCACAGAAATGAGATGCTCAGACTGGAGCCTGGCTGTCACACTGAGTCCCTGGCAAGAGACAAGTGCCTTCAAAAGGGGCTGAGCTCCCAAAAGGCAAGGAGATGAGGATTCTGACGGGTCAGCAGGGTCAATCCAAGCCTTCCAGCCCTAAAGCTGGGTAAAGCGTCACAGGAGGGCACAAGGCTGCAGGAAGGGCTGAGTGCAGACTGCTGCTCACACCTGCAATCCCTGACCTTGGGTGGGCACCAAGGAGGGAGCTGCTTTCTGTGCCAGCTGCTGTTTGTGCAGTGCTGCAGTCAGGAAATATTAAAAATGGGAAGAGTGATCCAGCTCCAGAGAGTGACTTCCATCATTATAACCAGAGAGCCTTTGCTTAACATTTGAACTTTCTGAGTGCTTATTCTAATTCAACCACAGAATCTTCAGAGAGTTCAGCAGTCACTAATTAAGCCCTGCAAGGATTTATCTGTGGTTGATCCGTGCACTTGGCAGCTTTTGCTTCAGAGGGACTGAGCCCTGCAAGTGCCAGTGCAGGGAATGCCCCCAGAGGGGCACAGGGACCAAGCACTGCTCACCTTTAACTCCCTGCCCCTTCCACGGCTGGCAGTGCTTCTGTGTGGCCCCGTATTTAGGGTGAAAACAAATAACCCACTTCAAAAATAAACTGCCCTAGGAAGCGCCTTTGAAAATTTTTAATGCCAAATTACAAAAACATCACATGCAAATGTAAATAATTTCCTCTGCAATGAATGCAGGAAATAAAGAAGTGGTATGAACAATAGGGAATTGGACAGGTCTGTTTTATTTCCCTTCCTCCTCCATCTCCCCCACAGTGTGATTTAATAAATATTAATGAAAAAAAGAAGGAGTAACACTTGTCTATTAATTCTGCTGCCTTTATTTTCTGATCATGCCTAATTTAAAGGTGTTTTGGGGTTACATTTAGTCATATATATGGTTGTTTGAACCTTTTATTAGCCATGATTCATTGTGCATATCAGCACAGCATGGAGCTCATGCCTGCAGTGTGTGTCTGTTCCATGATGCTCAGTTATCTGCCTGCCCCAAGCTATCCAAAGGGATGGATTTGCATGGACACTGCTCCCCTGTGGAAGGGAATGCCAGGAATGACTGGTCTGGTACTACCTGCCCCGGTGAGCTTCCATTCAAATAATGCACATGCCACCAAAACAATTCAGATCAAAGCTCTGCCTTTCCACTGAATTCAAATGTGAGGACTTCTAAAGCAATTTTAGCAGTTGGCTTTACAAATGAACTTATGTCAGCTGCTCTGTATGATGAGTGACTAAATTACTCCTGTATCTAATCTTATCTCACTATCTGTCTGTCTGTTTTTCAGCATTTCAGTGCCCATCACTGCATTATCCAGGCGCCACCATAAGATTAAGGAGCTCTGCAGTGACATTCTCAACGTGGTCTGCTCAAAGGTCATTAGCAGAGCCTTCCATTCTGGAAAAGCCCAGAGGAGGGCACGGGAGTGAGCCACAGAAGGGAAGGAGAAGGAGAAGGAGAAGGAGAAGGAGAAGGAGAAGGAGAAGGAGAAGGAGAAGGAGAAGGAGAAGGAGAAGGAGAAGGAGGAGGAGGAGGAGGAGGAGGAGGAGGAGGCAGCAACTGGAGCCTTTCTGGCTGTGCTCCATGGAGGGACGTGCTCAGGTGGTGCTGCAGTGCAGGGGCCTGGTGGCAGTGGCCCTTGTGCTGCTGCAGGGACTGTCACACTTGCTGTGGGCTCCTGTCACCTCAGACTTTGGCTCCCATGGCCCTGCTGTCCCTGAGCTGCTCTCAGATGCCATTCCCATGCTGGGACTGTATGATTCCAGGATGCTCCAGCCTCAGAGCAGGATATTTCCCTCAAAGATCCCAGAGCAGGCACTGCCACTCAGGAAGAACCTTCTCTGAGAGGATACACTAGTTAAAATTTATCTTCCTCCCAGTGGGCAAATCCTCCCAGCTCCCTGTGTTTGAAGGAGCCAGAAGGGGTTTCAATGTGCACAGAGCTGCCCTGGACCCACGGGATCAGGAGAGAGGACGCTGTCCCAGGCTCCCAGTGCCGTCCCCCTGCAGCTGCGGTGTCTCTGGGGACAGCCTGGGGAGGTGGCAGTGCCCGTGCCCTGCTCCCACAGCTGCTGGTAAGTGACAGTGTGGCACAGCTGTTCTCCAGAGCTGCCTCAGTGCTGAGGGGCAGTGGCAGCGTGCTGACGTGCTGCTCTAACGAGCCCTGCAGCCCTCGTGCCCCTCTCGGTGCCCAGGCAGCCGGGGATTTACGCTGGCGGATAAATAGGTGGTGCCAAAGCGAGAAGGAAAGAGCCAAAGCTGGAAGCCAACCACAGAACGTGGGTGTAAACGATTACCAAAGGCTTCCAGTAACTCTGCTATCATCAGAGACTGGCTTTATGGGTATGGCCTCAAGAAGTTTCCCTCCACTTAATTAAAGAGGCAGATAAGTATCTAGGTGGAGTGTGCAGATAGGTTCTGAATGAGTTATCCACTAAGGCTGGTTCGCTGCACCTATTGTTAAAGCCAGAATATAATATCAGATTAATGCATTATATTTGCCTATTATAGCACTATGTCATCATTATATGACATGTTATAATTAAAGCTCTGCATTAGAAACAAAACTATTTGGCTTGGGATAAGTTGCCTTTATGACTTCTGTGGTTATGATTTCCTCCTTTTCTTAACCCCTTAAAACTGCATAATATAGCTATTTGTAGCTGTATAAAGAAAGTTTCTAGTTTCAGATTCTAATCTCAGGTAATTCAATGTAAATAAAATCAAAATCTGGCACATATTCTTTTCCTGTGTCAGAGTATTCGCTAGTAGAGGGAAATCCATGTTGTTTGGGTTGAGAGAATCCCAAAGATGGCAGATTAAAGAAGAGGGTGCCTGGCTCCCCATCCTTCCCAGCTGTCCCCAGCAGCTGCTGGGTTTGTCCCATTCCCCAGGGTTCCAGGAAGCTGCTTGGCAAACTCCCATTCTTCCTTTTCCTTCCTGGAACCACACAAGATAAAATGGGTTCTTAGAGCAGTTTCTGGCCACAGCTGCCGGGAAGCCAGAGCTCCCAAATGCAAACTGGAGCCTGGGTGTGGGACGGCAGCTTGGCTAACTGACTATGCTAATGGCCTTAATTAGCCATTTGCATATGCACGCTTCTCAGTGTCAGTAGTTGGTGATTCACGCAGTGCCAGCCTGAGCCCTGCTGCCAGGCTCAGGGGGCACAGGGGCCAGCAGTGCCCCCAGTGCACAGAGCCAGGGCTGGCACCAGGCAGGGCACGACTCCCAGAGTGGCCAGGCTGGGGCTGCTGCCCGGGCAGGGCAGGGCAGAGCAGGGCAGGAGCCCTCCTGCTCTCTCTGGAGGCACCTCCACCAGCCAGGGTTTTGCAATGCTATGTAATAAATCTAATTGCTGTCTTTCATGTCACTGGCTGGAGTGTGCCCTGGTTTGGCTCAGGGGTGACCACCCTGCTGAGGTGGTGAGCAGGGACCTGGGGTGACATCCTCTGTCCCCCCAGTCCCTCTGGGAGAGGTCACTCTGTGCTGCAGTGCTGGCAATCCAGTCCTTGTCCTCCTGATTGGGGATGACCTTTCCCCTGCACTTGCAGAGAGCTGGATTTGGCCTTGGAAGTTGGCTTGTGCACCAGGAACTGTTCTGTCATTTCTGTTTCACTTGGAAATGTGCACTCTCCTCCCAGGCAATCTCTGCCGTGCGGGAAGGCCCCAAGTGCAAGTGCCAGATGTGTCAGATCATCAGTCTGGGCACACACAGGCTTCTGATGGAGCTGCTGGAGACACGGTTTGAGCATTTCATCTAAAACAATCAAATTCTGCAGCAAGAAGTGGACAAGTAAAAATAATAATATGCCAAAGATTGATTTTAATTTTTGTCTTGAACAGATATTTACCTGGCTTTTGCCACCGGTCCCTTGGGCACTGCTGAAGGGAAGTCCCCTCTCTGGTGTCACTGAGGCAGGTGAGGCACTGAGGCAGGTGAGGCACTGAGCCCATCCACCGAGGCTGCCCTGCCAGGGGAATGTGCTGGGCCACACTCGGGTCCTGTGCAGTGCTGCTGCACCTCTGCTCTGCACTCCTGAACACTGCAAACACTGCTCGCTTCTGGGAACGTTTCCATCAGCCCTTACAGGGGCTTTTAGAACCCCTTCAGTGCTTCCCTGTCCTGCCTGGCAGCCAAGGCGTGGGCATGGCAGGGTTTATTGTCACTGTCCCTTTGTCCCTGCACCCAGAGTGGGCCTGGAGTCACAGACTGGCACAGGAGAGGCCCTGGCAGGGCCAGTGTGGGCAGGCCAGTGTGGGGGCCTGAATACATGTTGTATTGTGAGATCAGAGTGTGTCTANGGGCGCTGCGGGCCTGGCACCGCACAGCCGGCACCGGGATCCTTCAGTCCCTGCTCCGCTCCTCCTGCACCTTGGAACTCCTGATCGAGCTTTAGTGTGGCATTTGGGTGCTCAGTAAATGGCTGTTTGACTATGCTGTGGAAATAATTGCAAACTCCTTGTAAAAAACCATAATTTGTTTTTAGCTCACTGCTCAGTGTGAGCCATGCTGGGTACTCCTGCCATTCCTAGAGAATCCACTCTCTGGTGAAGAATTAGGGGAGGGAATGTGTTTTCAGTGTCTTGTGGTTCCCAGCAGATCACCAGCTTGCACACCCAAGGCAGTTCCTGCACAAGCAGGTGATCTTACTCACACAGAGCCTTGTGATGATAAGAAATCCCAAGGCCTTTGTTCGTTTGTGTGACTGGGGCACGTCTGCCTGTTTCGGTTTATTTTGCTCGCCACAGTCTTGCCTTGAGCAGGTGCTTTGTGCCACCTTTCAGGCACTGAGACTGATTGCTGTGCTTTACACAAAAGCACTCACTGGCTTAACCACTGCTCTGGCTCATAAGGAAAAGCTTTCCCTCCCTGAAGAGCTTGCTGCCCTTCTCGCTGGCTGTGGCACATGTACACTGATATATCAGGGAGCTGAGGGTGTATTAGACATGCAGGTTTCTTCTGGAATTACATAAATAATTTACATAAGCAATGCCAGAATATGTATTACGGTGGAAGCGTATCATGTTCAAATTCTGAATCCATAAGAACAGGGCTTGAGTTGAATTGTGCAGAGTGAACGTGACTGGAATATTTCCCTGATTTCTTGAAGCATGTACTTTGTGGCTTTGGCAATTCATTCCCTCACAGGCTTTGGGGTTTGAGTGCATTTTAAACACAAGTTATCAGCGCTGACTCAGTTCCTTGGTTTGCCTTCCCAGCGCAGAGCTGAGGCTGCGTTTTTGAACCTGGCTATCTGGACAGCCATGCTGGATCCCTGTGTTCAGACTACAGAGGTGTTTGCACACAGGGAGCTCGGGGGACTTGCCAGCCTCCTTCCCAGCACTCAGCTAATTGTTCCATGAGGATCTACCCACTTAGCTCCTCTAATCAGGGTGTGGTTTTCTTATGAAGGAAGTGAGTGTTAATTAACTCTTACTTTCATTACTCCAGGGACCTCTTTATAGAATCACCCACGTTGTGACCTGATGCTGCTGTCAAATATGGCTGTTCTTGTGTCTTAATTTAATTTTACTATTCTCTCCTCTGCTGCTGCAGAGAGTGTTAATTTATATGCCCATGGCCCTTCTAGAATGTCTAAAACTGACCTGTCAAAGTCTCAGTTCACACTTTCAAATATTGCCTTATAGGCACGTTGGCGATAAGACTGATCCTGCATTCATGTTCCTCCTTTCCCTGCTCATTGTGTGGTACAGTGAGAAGGAGGACTTGATTTAGCATTTAGGAGGAGAAATTTGATCAGGCATTAGGTCAGCAGAGAGGAGGAGTAGGACGGAGCTGAACACGTGCCAGGCCTGAGTGTGCCTCTGCTCCAGGGAGAGCGTGTGCCCCTCTCTGTGCTCTGCTGTGCCCCAGGGGCTGGGGAAGGGCTGTGGGGTGAGGCTCTGGGAGCCCTGGGCACGAGAGGCTGTGATGGCTGAGCCCCAGAGCACGCACGGACTGGCCTGGCAGCTCCTCAGGGCATTAAGAGCTGCCTGCAGCCCAGGCCCTGCTGCTGACAGCTCAGATCTTCTTGGCCCTGGGTATTAAAGGTCTGTTTCTGTGCCCTAATCCTGCAGGTTTCACCCTGAGTGTTCCCTGTGCTCTGCCTCGGTGCCTCGTGGGGATGCAGCAGTGAGGAGCAGGGCAGCCCTCTGTGCTAACCTGATAGTGCAAGTGTTACCGCGCTCTGATGTGCCTGCTCCCTTTTTATAGGCAGTAAATGATTTTCTCATAGAGGTACAAAGTGGTACAGCAAGGTGCAGGAGAGAATTTGTGCCAGTTCTTTCTCTTTTCTCGTTCTGTCCCTTGTCATCTCAGAGTTGCTGAGAGTTGCCAGCCTGTGCCTGGGAGCAGGAAGGCACAGACAAGACAGCAGTTCAGGGAGAAGCTTCAGGGGAATACTTGTGACACTAGACAAGCCATTCCAGGGCCACCAAAATCCAGAATGGTGAGAACAGTGCTTTTTCCTGTTAGTACAACAGCTTTATTCAAAATCTCAGAGCTTGTAAATATTACAGATCACAAGGTGATTGAAATATGTTTGAGGCCAGAAATTTGTTCCCAGATTCAGCCCTTCCAGCAACACTGAATATTGGATGAAATGCAAATTGAGAAAAGATGTGACGTGGAGGGACTTTATGCCAGCAATCTCAGGGAGAAGGAAACTAGGACAGTGTGAGATGGTGTCTGATTTGGCCCTGTTAATTGGACAAGGGCAGAGGGCAGAGGGTAGGAGTGGCTCAGGGAAGAGGAATGTCATTTAAGAAAATGTGTGCACTTCCCATAGATAAATAAGTTTCTGTTTCAGTTCCCTGTCAGACAAATGGAGCAAGTCATCCAGGCAGTGGAATGGTCTGTCTGTTATTTCGGGTTTCACATTGTCCTCTCAGATAAAAGTAAAACATGCTTTCTCCCTTGTTCTTTCCAACAGGAAAGAGACTACAAGAATGGATCTCTGTCATCTTATGCTTCTCTCTGATCTGCTTCAACTTTTACAATCTCCTCTTGTACCTGCGGCTGGAGCACACGCCCTCGGTCCTCGTTGGGATCTGTAAGTAGGGGCTGTTCCTGCTGCTGCCCAGGGCAGGACTCATTGGGATATGTTAGTAGGGGCTGTTCCTGCTGCCCAGGGCAGGACTCATTGGGATATATAAGTAGGGGCTGTTCCTGCTGCCCAGGGCAGGACTCATTGGGATCTGTAAGTAGGGGCTGTTCCTGCTGCCCAGGGCAGGACTCCTGTCCTGTGGGGTCCTTCAGGCTTGACTTGCTATTGAAAGGGAGAGGGACACCTGTGTGTGAGCCTCTGAAACTGAGGCCCTCTGCAAAATGAGTTACTGCTTTGTCTTTACATTTCACTGGTTTCTCAGTCCCTCAGAGGGGAAGTTTTGATGTAGCTGAGTAAGTTTGGTGTTCCTGTGTAGTCACTGCAAGAGTAAGGACTATTGAGAAGGAAAGGAGCTGTCAAAATGGTCAGAGTTGGGAACAAAATACATTGCTTGACAAAAATATTCACAAGAATTTTCCAGAACGCAAAAGCTCAAGGGAAATGTCATAAAAGGTGCTTGAGGCATCAAAATGGCTTCATTTCTGGGGACTGCAGACTGAACACAAGAATTTCGGAGAGCTGTGCTTTCATGTCAGGATGTGATGTTTGGCCTTTATTATCCTGAATGATGACTTTTTCCAGGAGTATAAGAAAAGTTGATTCCACCTCTTCTGTGGAGGAGAGGAAGAACCAGTGAAGGATTCTGATGGAATATTCAGAAAAAAAATAGCTTTGCTATAACTGTGTGGGGTGTGTGTTTTAGAAGAGAATGGTGCCTGTTCACCAGCAGTGCTGGGCATTGCTAATGAGTTCAAACTAAACAAACCAACCCCACCCAGACACTGCCCCGGGTTCAAGCAGTGGCACTCTGAGCTCCTGCCAGAGCTGGCACTGCCGTTCCTGGTGTGTGTGGGGAGCTTGTTGGGGCTGGGGGCAGCAGTGGCCTCACTGGGACTCACAGAGCTCTCCTGGCCTAGTTCAGCCCTGCCTGCTCTCGGCTGGAGGTGTTGGAGGAGCAGAGAGAACAGGGCATGGGAATGGGAGCTGCTGCTTGGGGATGAGGGCACAGCCAGACAGGAGAATCAGCAATGATGCTTAACCTGTGGTGCAATCTGTTTGCAGCTGCCTTTCATCTCAAAGTTAATATTGATAAAAGCTGGAGTTCTCTGATATCCTGGTTACCAGTTTAACTGATAAAGCAGCCAATTCACTGATAGTATTATTTAAGTAGTAGTGAATGATTAAAGTAGCAGAATCTGGATTCTGTGTAAATAAAGTGGTGTGGAAATAATTGATAGTGTATACAAAAATGAGTGCCATAAAATAGTAAGTGCTTCAGGCTATCTTGTTTTGCTGTCTTCAATACATTATTTCTCCAACTGAAGTGTGAATGATGTCTGTAATTCACACTGATTATTAGGTTTTATTGCATATTATGCAAGTCATATCCATAAAAGTCCCGATTCCTAAATACGTGAGGAGCTCCACGGGCAGTTGGGAATCCTGAGTCACCACAGGGTGAGGTGTGCTCCATTGACAGCTTCCCTCAGGCTTCTTTGGAATATTGACCTTGAGCTGAAGTCATAAAGCAAACATTCTGCTAATAAAGACAGAGCTGTGATCCAGTTCCTGCCAGGTCTTTGTCAGTCTGTTCCAGGGGCTGGATCTGTCCTGCTGCACAGACCTGTTCCCTGCACAGGGACCCTCTGTGTGCTCTTCTGTAAATACATGCTTTCCTTTAGGAAATGAGGCACTTGGAACACTGCATCACTCCACTGAGCCTAAACCCTGTGTGTGTAATTAAAGGCTGTGTCACAGCTTCTTTCTTTGTGCCTTTAGAGGCACGGGGATTGTAACATGAGCAATACCGTAAGTGCCTTAGCCTGGAGATTGCTGGGGCAGGAGAGGTGTGTCCCTGCTGTGGCTGGCAGTGGGGCAGCCCTCCTTCCCCAGGGTGTCCCTCCCCAGTNGAGCCAGCATCCCCTGCCTCAGCTCCCAGGGATTGATTCTGCAAACTGTGTGAAACTGGGAAACCTAACCAACCCTGGGATTGAATACCCTGAGCACGGAGCCCCCTGCCCCTCCTGGCCAGAGCCCTGCCCCTGCACAGGGGCTGCACGGAGCCCCAGGGCCGGAGCTGAACCTGCACCTCCCAGGGATTGATTCTGCAAATTGTGTGAAACTGGGAAACCCAACTAACCCTGGGATTGAATATCCTGAGCACGGAGCCTCCTGCCCCTCCTGGCCAGAGCTGTGCCCCTCCAGCAGGGCTGCACAGAGCCCCAGAGCCTGCACCTCCCTGCCTCAGCTCCCAGGGCATTTATTCTGCAAATTGTGTGAAACTGGGAGACATAACTAAACCTGGGATTAAATACCCTGAGCTCCGGGAAGGTGCTGTGATAGCTATGGAATGTGTGATACAGGAATCCTAAAAACAAGGGCCAACAGGACAGGGCAAGGTGAAAACCAGATGTAGATCTTAGTCTTTCTTAATTTTTAATTAGCTCCAAAATTTTATTTGAATTTATTACTATTTATTATATTATATTAATAAGTTCCTTAGTATTATATATATATATATTATTTAGTTATTATATTAATAAGTTCCTTAGTAGATATATTTGGGGGGGGGGGAATTCATAATAAATGAGAATTAAATTTGGCACTACTTTGTGAAATCCTGGCATCCAGTCGGAAGGTTTGGAATTAAATATGTCCCTGTTGTAAATGCAAATCAATGATCTTAAGCAAGTGTTCACCCACTTCTCCTCGTTTTGAATTGCAGCCCTATAGTTTCCCAGATATATCCACCAGCACAGCTAGGAGAGGAGAAAAGCCTTTTACTCAAAATGAAACATTTGAACCATTGAGCAGGTGGGGAAATGATCACAAAAGGCAAGTTGGTTTCCAGTGGAGTTTCCAATTCCCAGTAGATCAAGTGCAGCATTTCAGGGAGCGAGGGCCCTGCCAGCCCTGGGAGCTGCAGTGCCCCAGCAGCATGACTTTCCTTTGACAGAGGAGCAGGATGATTTCATTTGACAGAGGAGCAGGATGATTTTTATTTGACAGAGGAGCAACAGTTAGTACAGAGAGACGCAACAATTTTCCTGCATCTTCTAAGAGTCACCAATGCAAAGCAGTGGGAAAAGTGGGAAAGCAGCATCACAGTATCAGAACTGCACTGGGCTGCTCATGCTTTGGGCAGATAACAGAGTGATAATTGAAGAAACTGCTTTCAAAATTATAATTGTATTTTTAAAATATATCTTTAACTGTTACATATGATTTATTTTGCAGAACTAAGCACAACTGAATTCAAACACCTTATAAACCAAGGCTTTGGAAAGGGCATATCAGTGCCAGGGATTTACAGACTGACTTCTACAGAGAAAAAGCTCAGTTGTTTTAGTATCAATAAGACGTGTAGAAATTAACCAATGCTAATACATCATTTGAAAAGAAATATAAAAACACAAATAAAAAGCCCAAATGCAATGCTGGTTATCAGTTTGATAAAACTGGGAGCAGCTGTCCGTGCCTGGAGTTCTCAGCATGGTTTGCCTACCACGGGCTGTCCTGAGCAGCTTCAGGAGGAGAAGCTCAGCAAGCCCTGTCCGAGGCCAACTGAGACATTCCAAGTCCTGCTCTCAGCCAGCAGAATCTTATTTGTCATGGGAAACTAAATCAATATTTGGAGCTGAGACACTGTTTGGACAGGGATTTTCCAATCCCCCCACTGCAATTAGAAAAGGTATTTGGAATCTTTTGTCTACTTTAGTACTTGGAATTTTCTCAGATTCATTTACAAGCTATTTTTTTCCAGACTATTATTTTCTAGGAAATGTTTTAATTACCCAGGTTTTTTCATATGCTGTTTTAGAGGGCAGAGTATTTCATGGCCTCCATGCATTTAATGGCACTAAAAATCTCCTACAATGTAAGTTTTGAGGGTAATACAAGATTACTAATGAAGGATTGGGGAATTCTCTTTCCAAGTCTTTCACAGATTCCTTCTGAGACTACTGTAAAATTGGTGTGTTTATGGCTTAATTTTCTTGTCTGTACAAATAATCATTGCTGGACAAGGTTCCTCCCGAGCTAGAAATCTGCCATCCTAATTGGGAGATACCTTGGAATACAGCAGTAACCTAAACATCATTCTTTAAATTGCAGCCACGCCGCCCTGGCTCTCCTGCACTGGGCAGGCAGGGTTTAGGGATGGGGATTAGCTCCTTCATGCCTGCTAGAGCTCAATCTCCAAAACTGGACTCGTATTTAAACAGATATAAATACCTCCAGTACATCTTATCTTCCAATCTACCCTGCCTTAGGACTCTTGCTGGAAACTTTGTTAGAAAGACAGAAAGACAGAAAGACAGACAGACAGACAGACAGAAAGAAAGAAAGAAAGAAAGAAAGAAAGAAAGAAAGAAAGAAAGAAAGAAAGAAAGAAAGAAAGAAAGAAAGAAAGAAAGAAAAAGGAAAGTGTCTGAGGACACCTCCAGTCCCGCAGCAGTTCCGCCCTGGGCAGCACTGGGCTCTGCAGCCTGGGAGCGCCGTGTGTGAGTTTGGGTGACATTGTGTGGCCTCCAGCAGAAGAAGAGAATAGGATCTGAGGATGTGGATAGGTTTCGTAATGATCCAAAGAGTAGAATAAACAGCCAGGGGAGGCTGGAGTAATCATCGTCACGAGGGACAGCCAAGACAAGATCTAACGTCTGTCCTGCCTGCAAGAACTTGAGTCATGCTGGTGCAGGAGCGAGCTCACCCAAGAAATCTATTTTAGGGGCTCGTAAAAACAACTAAACAACTGAACTGCACTGTACAAATGCAAAAGCAAACGGGGCAATCTGTGTGGGGCTAACCCTGCCCTGCTCACACAGCTCTGGGTGACAGGGAATGAGCAGCCAGGGCCAGGGAGGGCTCCAGCTGATGGACCTGCAGGAGGCTCTGATCCTAAGAGTCAAAAAAAGCAGAGCAGCTCTTTCAGCAGAAAACATGTTTTG